CCCCCCCCCCCTCTACCGTCCGATCCATTTTGGATCTCACGCCGGATAGTTTCGGGGTGTCTTAGCTCTAAGTCCTCCACCGCCCAATGGGGGACTTCAGTATTTTTTTAATGCCGTACCAATAGGCATCAACCTTAGGTAAGTTTGTGCTTACTTTGGACTGTACCCTCCTCATCCTCTGGGGGAGGTAGAGGGGGGGGGGGCGCATGGCCTCTATTTTTCAGGGGGGGCTCGGGTACTGGTTGGGGGTCGGGTCTATGTGTACTGCATTCTCGAATTGTCCCCTCACTGTAGCTACTGTGGATTTTCAGTATACAGCTATCCTCACTCAACGCGTCTATGTGTCCAGCAATCTTCAATACAAATCCACCTGTGAGGTTTCAGTATGCAGCTTTCTTCACTCAAGGCGTCTATGTGTCTGGCAGTCGCAAACGTCACTCAACCCGTTAGGTCTCAATATCCAGCTATCCTCACTCAAAGCCTCAATGTGTCTGGCACTATCCAACATCACCCAACCCGTGAGGTTCCAGTATGTAAATATCCCCACGAAGCGCGTCTATGTGTCTGGAAAACTCAAAACCAATCCATCTGTGAGCTTTCATTATGTAGCTATCCCCACTCAACACGTCCATGTGTCCGGCAGTCGCAAACGTTACTCAACCCGTGAGGTTTCAGTATGTGTCTTTCCTCACTCAAGGCGAATTTGTGTCCGGCACTATCCAACATCACTCAACTCGTGAGGTTTCAGTATGTAGCTATCCCCTCGCAGCGCATCTATGTGTCTGGCAAACTCAAAAACCAATCCGTCCGTGAGGTTTCAGTATGTGTCTTTCCTCACTCAAGGCGAATTTGTGTCCGGCACTATCCAACATCACTCAACTCGTGAGGTTTCAGTATGTAGCTATCCCCTCGCAGCGCATCTATGTGTCTGGCAAACTCAAAAACCAATCCGTCCGTGAGGTTTCAGTATGTAGCTATCCTCACTCAACACGTCTATGTGTCCGGCAATCTCCAATGCAAAAGTGATGTCGAGGAAGGGGTAGGGGAGCGCATCCAGCACGAAAGCGCAGAATGGGGTAATGACAGCGACGAGGTTGAACCATGATATGATTTTTCCAGTCTTGTGATCGATTGCTACGCCCATGCACTGGGTGTGCCATGTGCCAACAGCACACATATGTGATTGCTGTGCGCGGGGGTTGCGTCCCTGCTTCCAGCTGCTGCGGTTGTCCTTGACAAAAAAAATCCAAAAAATTCAAACGTCAACAAGTTTTACCCCGGATGCAGCGTGCCACACGTGAACTGCGTTGCTGTTGTATCTTCTCGGGTATTGACCGCCTTCGTCATGGAAGCGTTTTGCGCTACTGTATGCCTACAGGCGCTTAAAAATGTGAGTTACAGGCCGACAAGTGGGAATACCAATGTTGGCCGTATTTTTCTGCGCATTTTTTCCGATTTTGCATCTCTGCTCAGATACACGACAAGCCGTATCTGAAGCGATTTTCATATACATACATTTCATTGTGACTGCCTTTGCCCTGTCGTCAATATGCGCTATCGTATGCTGTGCTGCGCATCGTATTGCGAAAGTTACACTCCGAAACGCATATCTTTTGATTTGCTCCCATCGCTTCTGTGCCACCGTAACAAGGCACGAAAATCAAGAGTACCCTCCCCCCGGCCACTCGCTGCCCTCGTCGCGTTGTTTCCTGGGCGTGTGTGACAGGTCCGTGTTTCTTGGCATCACGGTGTCCCTGCTAGTGTCTCAGTACCTATTGAGGAAGGAGAAGTCGGCGGACGCCGCACGAAACGCCTTCGGTGACGGGCAAGGGGGCGACAAGGATGTCGAGGTGAGGAGCAGGGCCAGGCCGCTGCCGCCGGCGCCGCAACCGCCCCCGACCAAACGACAGTGTGCATCGTAGCACTCACATTGGCCATCTTCGTAACATTTCTGAGCTCAGTGAATCCGACGGCCTTCAGCTACACTTGGTTTTGTATCGATTTATTCTCGTCCGGTAGCGGTTCTCGATAACACCGCCTCTGTGATACTTGTACATGCAGGGGTTAAGAAAGACTGTCTCTTCTGTGTGTTGGTGAGTTTGACCTACGTCAAGTTTGACACATATCAACAACGAAATCGGCAACAACAAGCTTGCCACAGCAGCATTACAACAACGTCGACCGCGACGACACCTACACCCAGATCGCCCGCAGCCTGTCCACGGGACGGCTGCTCGCTTCCCCTCCCATGAGCTCAGAGGAAGGGTCTTCGGCAGACGAGGGTGGCGGGAGAAGGGGGAGGAGGGACGACACCGAGAGCAGCGGCGACAGCTACAGCACGGGAGAAAGCGACACGGAAAGTGACGACGAGGTGCTTTGTGCCGCGTAGGGTGGTGGGATGGTATCAAGGGAAACCGTATATTTTCGTGCGTCAACAAATACCAGGAGCACGTACTACCGCTTCTTGTTTTGTTTGTGCCCATGAAATATCCAACATTGTTCACGGTTTCGTTTGCACGTGGGCCCATACAAGGTTCTTGGGGGTACATTCGGAGACTGTATCGTTCGTGCCGTGGTTTCTTAGCTCTTGTTCTTTTTGAAGCCGTGTTGGAGAGAGAGGAATGTCTGTACGAGCGGGACGAACCCGTCTCTTCCTTGATACGTTTGTAGCCTACTTCCCACAGCAGGGAGAGCAATCCCATCACGTGATAAGACTATACTGGCTGAATCTGCTCGAGATGAAAACACGAATGAGCACCACATAATGAAGGAGAAAACACAACTCCTGTATGCCCTTCCTCTGTGTGAGCTCGGCTAGTGCGTCCAAACACACCGAAATGCGTAAAACTAACGCCCTGAGAGTTAAAGGGGGTGAGAAACTGTTGTTGTTTTTGTAACTCTTTCTGTTCTGGAAAATGATGGTGATGGTGATTCTACTTTTACTTAGTGGTTTTGACGATGATGGTAGGGGTAATGGTGACTACATTTCCTCCGTTGACACTGAGATGAAAAAAATCGCAATTGTTGGTATTAAGATAACCAAGATGAGGAATAAAGAGCAGAATTTATTGTCATTATTGTTGCTATTGACGTTGCGACTAAGTCCGGGATGCACGCCGGCAACTTCCTACAGGCGTTCCTCGAAACACGGGCGACAGTATCAGGCGTCGACATCAAACTAGGAAACGCAGCAGCAGCACAACCGGCATCCTCTTTCCTGTTGGGCACTGCCACAGCAACAACGGCGGGGGACGAGAGTGCCGTAGTGACAACCCAGCCTACACAAGGGGCCCCATGGCCTTCCTCAAACGATGGCCCTAGAGCGGCGCCCAGGCGGCGGAGCATGTTCGCGCCGGGGGGCAATCGGCTGGTGTACAAACGGGCATTCAGCGCCAGGTGGGTGGTTAAGGGCGGTTGAACTTTCGCCACTGGTGGACACCAAAAAAGTTACGTTCCCGCCCTGAATCTCGTAGCTTCGGCCGATGTCAGCTGATGTTGTACATTAATTGTGCGCACACGTATCATTGGAAACCCTGCATATATGCGAATAATTGTGGTTCGTCGTTGGCCGGTAGAGTCGTGCACACAATTATGGTAAATTAACCCGTGACTATTGAGTTTTCTAAGCCACACACCGTCGCCGCAGTCTGATCCCCAGCTCCAGCTGCATGTCAAACGCGCGCCCGACGGTGGTGTTCAAAAAATAGCACGAGGTTGCGTTCTCAAACGAACGTCAGTTGGATTGGATCGCAAAAACAGGGAATCCTCCTCGACAGAAGGCGGGGAGGTGTGCTCTTTCTGTCATCTCCGCTGAATAAATAAACAGTCTCGACCGATATTTTGCCCCCTATGTACGTACATATTTTGTGAACCGTCAGCGCGAACGGTTGTTCGATGTAACTTCTCCGTGTTCCCCTGCAAGACTTCCAATAACTACTGCGCGATTTGGCCCTTTCTTGTCGAATCGGGCTACGTACAAACGGTCAGCTTGATGTGCTTGGTTCACATAGGATCGTTTTGTACCCCTCATTCTCCCACACCTGAGACATCACTCTGCGAAGGTGTACCGATTCAGGTAAAAGTCAATTGACGGATACCCTGCGAATCGGGTCCTCCTTAACACTCTCCACCCACAGAATTTACTCTCAACTGGGAACCTCTTGTGGCCGGGATGGGTAATTCGATGGAAGTGTCACAAGGTTTTTTGTAGGATCGACTCCAAGAGGTGTTCTCAGGACTGACATTGTGTCCTTGGGAAATATCCAAGTCAGGAGAAAAAGTGTGCACCCAAGGAGATTCGAAGCAGTATCCTGCCGCTGACGCCACATGCGAAGGTGTACCGATTCAGGTAAAAGCCGATCGACGAATACCCTGCGAATCGGGTCCTCCTTAACAACTCCCCCACCTTCTGGAACGCGCGGGATTCCTCGACACCCCTGTCCCTCTCTGCTTGTTTCGGCACGATGTGTAGCTCCATTAGATTCTTCTTGGATTGATAGGGCAAAGGGTCCGGCGGCATGCTAGGTAGTTCCACAGATATTCGAATCGTAGACGTTGGTGCAACCCCCAACCCTCTCCCTCGCCTTGAGCATGTCCTGTCTGTTCGTGGACGTTCGCAAAGGAGGGCCTTTAGAAGTTTCTTTGCGATCATGCAACCTCCTCCCCCCCTCCCACGAAACGCTATTACCTTCATGGGCGGGAAAGATCATCGTCGGACGATAGTACAATCGGCGGGGAGAATACTGCCGATGGCGGAGGACCCCCCCCGCCTGACGCGGTCACCCTGGATAGGTCGTTTACCAGCACGGCGGAGGAGTTCGGCTCTGCATGGGACGCCCTTCGTACCTGCGCTAGCTTCAGGCAAGAGTTACGGGAGCACAAAGAAGTCGAGGGGAGGTGGGGGAGGATAAGCTGAAGTTGAACGAAGTTATACTGGACGCCTATGGCTATGACCTCCTCACCTGCGTTCATTGTATATGGGTGCCAGAATGAACTTCCTTGGGGGGGTGGAATCACTCGACAGCCATAACATCGACTCACCTTACACTCCGTTGGCTGGAACTGTAACCACGCGAATTTATCCTCTTGAACGTTGTCGTTGGTTCGAAAGGTGCCGGATAGGCCGCCTACCGGAGGTGGAAACCCTCGCTGGGCACCTCCGGGTTCAGGGGTTCGTCGTGGTCGCGTCGGGGCCGTTAGCCGACGGCCGCACTAGCATTTACGCGTGCGCCCGCGGGATGGGGGTGGAAGCACTCTTCTTTGCAGAGCTGGTGCGTTTTTGTCTGTTGGCGTGCTTTCGCGCGAAGATTTCCCGCTGCTTTTTCTCTCTTGGCTCTCGCTCTCTGCTCCTTCATTTGAGTCTGCCTTTGCTCCTCTCGCGTGTTCCATCGCTAGCCGATATGCTCGTCCCCCGCCAAACGCGTTGAGTGGGGATAGCTACATACTGAAACCTCACGAGTTGAGTGATGTTGGATAGTGCCGGACACATTGACGCTTTGAGTCAGGAAAGACACATACTGAAACCTCACAGGTTGATTTGTATTGGAGATTGCCGGACACATAGACGTGTTGAGTGAGNAGATTGCCGGACACATAGACGCGTTGAGTGAGGATAGCTGTATACTGATCCACAGTAGCTATAGTGAGGGGACAATTCAAGGATACAATGCACATAGACCCGACCCCCAACCCGTACCCGAGCCCGCCCTGAAAAATAGAGGCCATGCGCCCCCCCCCCTCTCTACCTCCCCCAGA